ATGTTAAAAAGCTCGCACATTTAATATAACTATGAATTAATTCTGAAAGCACATCTTTTGTTTACTTTTTGTCATTGTACTTTTCTTTTATGATCATTTAGCCTTTTTTTCTCTATTAAAAATAAAAAATTTTCCTCATCATATAAAACACATTTTTCTTCACTTATAAGAATTTTTTTTTTTAATTAACCTCTATTTTATTTTCCGATAATGAATAATTAGAAACTTTTTATAATCAAGTAGCAAACGGACAAGTAAAATGTGAAAAAAACCACAAAACAGAAAAAAAAGAATTTAGTTATAATTTAAAAATTTTAAAGAATAGATTACAAAATAGAAGTATTGGAAAAATAACATTAAAATTAAAGTTAGATTTAAAAACTAGAAAGGAAATAAATTCGAATTTTAATTTTGTTTTCAATTTAAGTAGTAAAAGTGAAATTTGGTCAGACGTTAAATCTTCAAAAAACCCTAATTAGAGATTAACTTATACGAAAATTAGAATCAGTTATAAGTTTTATTAGAACTAATTGGAATTTATATTTACAAATAAAATGGTTGAATATTTTACACTTGCAAGTAGTATAGACAGAGATATAGTCAGACGGTGGAATTTTTACAAATAAAAATCACTACAAGGGGAGAAAATCAAATCTATGACAATAAAAACACATTACAGTCGTTTATGAATATTATTACATTCTACGACTATTAATCTACTGAAATATTTTGTTGAAGGAGTAATAACCGAGTATGGTCAGACATTACGAATTGCGGTACGTTTTGACAAATGTCATCTTCAGTCATGCCAACTATGCTTCCAATGTCACATTAAGATCATCTTATGTGGGAAATGCAAATATAAATTCAAAATTAAATTTAGATCTCATTATACGTATAGGTACGAATTATTTTAATAAATTATTATTACTATTATTATATAATAAAATATTAAAATACTAAATATTATCTTATTATATAAATATGCAATTATTATTATATTGTATTTATTAGACATTAATACAGTATCTCACATAATATTACGTTGAATATTGCATAATATTATTTAAAACTACAATGTTAAAAGAAAATAACTTTAAACTAATGTTTATTATTATATATTATTGTATTATATTATTAATTATAAATGTATAATGTTTACAAAGCAGAAAATAAGTAAAAAAAATATTATTAATTAGATTAATTATACGAATTGTACTAATTATATTAATTGCAGTAATTGTATTAATCATGTCATTACTAATATAAAAATTTCATATGATAAATTGATAAGAAAAAAATGTCAACCAAACCAAAGTTACGTGTAGTGAAATTTTCGTAAAAAGAAAAATTCGATAAAAAGTAATTAGCAAAGAATGCAATAATTAGAAATCTTCCACGGGACTTCATCTAATATAAAACGTGACTTAGGGAAAAGTGTTTTTTTTTCTTCTTTTTCAGACTGACAAGTTTTCTTTTTTTTTCTCTCTCTTTTGTGTTCACCATCTGTATATACATATATACATATATATATGTAGCCAAGGTGGAAAGTTAATGTCAAAAAAAAGAAAGAAAAGAATCTCGCTCAAAGTGTCCGTCCTATAAAAATAATTCCAATTTCTTCAACTTTTCTTTTCTTGAAACTCAACAAACTAAATGAAATCAATAAAAAAAAAAGAAAAAAATGTGATAGCTCTACCGTCACAAATTAATTATCCGCACCGCAATGCAGTCAAAGGTGATTCAAGTGTGTCCGTGCGAGTAGACATCTCGCTCTTTTCCACTTTCAGTCATAAAATTTTAATGGTTATTGCATTAAAGACCTTTCTCAACCGCTAAGTTTGCAAAGTGCTTTTCAAAACTTTTCCGTATTCTCCACATTTGCTCAAGGTTTTTTGAACACATCTTTACACCCAATGCGGGAATGAATCCAACACGAGTTTGCTAATTATTTAATGACAATTTTTCTTTTCCTTCTTCGCTTTTTGGACAATTTGCCTTTTTTAATTTAATTTTTTATTTATTTATTTCAATTTATTAATTTTAATATAAATTTTTTTCTTGTAAACTATTAATGTAATTTTTATAGTTTAGAATTCTACACAGGAAAAAAAAAGTCTGACTCCGTTTACACCTTAAATTCAGCCCATGTATTTCACATAAGTCTGTCCTTGTTTAATGGGGCTGACTCCGTTTACACCTTAAATTCAGCCTCGAAAACAGGCTAAAAGTAAAACTTTTTTTTTTAGTGTGTAATTTACCACTTACCAAGCGCAGATTTCTTCGAATTATTAAATTAATACCAAATTTGATCAAGTTGATAGCAAAAATTTGTATTAAATTATAATTTAATATCAAGTATCAATTCGTGGCAATTTGATACTTTCAAGTTAACAGTGAGAGTCGTAATCTTGTATTATTTCTGAAACAGAACAAAAAATGTAAAAATTAGTATTTTTTATTTAAAATTTAAAAAAATGATTTATTTTATTTTGATTAAATGTTTCCGGAATATATTTTTACTGTGTATATTATATTTTCTGTGGAATTTATTGATGAGCGAAATAATTGATAATGAAATAATTTTCTAGTAGATTTGAAGTAGTAGGAATAATTAATAATCAAGCAAGAATTCAAGTAGGACTAAGGTCTAATAGTCAGACAAGAAAATATTATTTTTAATTTTAATTTTCAGTAGTTTAAACAGAAAATAGTCAGACACTAGTAAAGATACGTATTGTTTAGAATTTAAGTATAAGTAAAAATAAATAATCATGGTAAATAATCGTCCACAAAGATTTAATTAATAAATTCATTTTTAAGTAGTTTTAACTGAATATAGTCAGACAATAGTAATATTATGATTTTTTAATTAACAGACAAAAATAGTTAAGAAAAGTAAACAAAATATTGACAGTTAATTGTAAACATGGAACTTATTTAAAATATAAGTAGTAGAAGAACCAATAGTCAGACAAAAATATTTCAATAATAATTAACTTTTAAGTAGTGTGAACATAATACAACCACTAAAAAAATTGCGAATTATTCAGAATTTAAGTAGTAGAAATAGTCAATTAAACACAAGTATTACATTAATAATTAACTTTTAAGTAGTTTCAACAAAAAATAGTCAGACACTGGTAAAGTTACGAATTGTTTAGAAATTAAGTAGTAGAACTGTTCATTAGTCAGACACAAAAATTTTATTAATAATTAACTTTTATAAATAGTTTAAACAGAATATAGTCAGACAGTAGTATAAATAAAATATGGTCAGCCAATGATAAAAATACGATTTCGTTAAAAATTAAGTAGAAAATAAGTAGTACAAAATATCAAAAGTCAGACAAGAAAAGGAATCTTAATTAACTAAATATTAAGTAGTACAAACAGAAGATTGTCAGACTAAGACTACGATTTTTTGAATTATAAAATACCTCGAGTAGTATAAAAAAATATTGTCAGACAGTTAAAAAAATATGATTTGGTTAAGTAAATAGGACTGACTATTGAGTCATTCAAATACATGTTTTTAATAATTAACTTTTAAATAGTTTAATCAGAATATAGTCAGACAATAACAAACCTACAATTTCGTGAGTTATAGCAAATACGACAAGTAGTATAAACAAAATATGGTCAGCCAGTGATATAACTACGATTTATTCAGAACCTAAGTAGTAATATCAATCAATAGTCAGCCATAACAATTTTTTTATCTAATTAATTTAAAGGTAACATAAAGCGAACATTGTTTTGTTAGTGATGAAAGTAAACTTCGATCGGACAGTAAGAAAATAAGTTAAGTAGTACAAATAGAATATAGTCGGACATTGCTTGCAATTTTACTTAAATATAGAGCTAAAATCGTAAGAAGCAAGTAGTAACAATCGAGAATAGTCAGACGTAGGAAAATATTGCCCTCTGACCCAATAAAAAGAGAAAACATCCCCCTCTGCTTTAGTTAAACAAATAAAATCTGATTATCCTCAACAAGAAAAATATATTCATTTCAATGATCAATTGAATTTTATAATCAACAGTTTGTTACTATAATGTTCTTGTATTAAAAGAAATCAAAGATGGTGGTCCGTAAAATAAACAAATAAAAATATTTAACCCTTGTGATATTATTTTCTTTAAAAGTTTTCTTTTTGAATAAATTTTTTGACGATAGAAAAGTGTTTTACTTTTATATCTTTAACGATATGGTGTGAAAGTTCCATCAGTTTATGAAGTTTAAGTGACCAAGGATCAATGACAGATCGGTTGCTGAGAGGCGAAACTAGTGATGGAACCATTTACTGGCACAGTGCCAAATGAAAATAGGATGTATTCAACCTGAAATGGCAGTAGTTTGCGGAGGTGCTTTAAAGTTCTCATTAAGCGATCGAGGTCTGTGGGACACTTCTCTGTCGCACTGTTTGCTTTGTTTGCTGTTTACGCTGCAGCAAAGAGAGAGACAGAGAGGAGAGCAGGAGCGAGAGGGGAGGGTTCGGATAAGAGAGTTGAATCGAGATTGTGGGGGTAGCTTTCATTAAGCTTCATTGTTTCTGCACCGCACTGTTGTAGTCTAGTGAATAACTTGGGAGCCACCCCGTAGAGTTTCGTTTACTCTCCATTCCTTCCCCCCCCCTCTCTCTCTCTCTCTCTTCCTCTTTGCTCTCTACTTTCCCTCTCTCTTAGATTTATTCCCCCTCTCATTCCCTCTCACTTTCCACCATTTCATATCTCTATTTCCGCGGTCCCCCACCGGAAAGCTCAACAACCTAATTTCATTATTGCGATGTATTCTTGAAATCCTGGCTTGGTAGATGAAAACATAAGACCTCAAAAACGCACACTATAGATATTTTATATGTATGTATAGAAAATGATATTCGTGGAATTATTATTGTGAAAAATTTAATCTACTTATAAATTTTCTGACAGATATAGTCAAAATATATTTAAGTATTGTATTTTTCTTAAAAATTCTTCTTTTTTTTCTGTTTCAGATACTCCATCTTTTGCCATTACGAGATTACCAGGATTTGGCGTACCTATTGTCGAGAGAATGTCCGTCAGTTTAAAATGTGAAGTCGACAGTAATCCGGCAAGTGCTCCAATCTGGCAACGTGGTAAATGCAATTATTCAAATTTTGTTTTTTTCAATTTACATAGTTATTTCTCTGTCGTAGGAAAAAGCTCATACATTTTTGTGTTCGCGTATAAACATAGAAATACTGACACTTATTGTTTTTAAAATATTTTTCAAATTTTTCATCACTATCTCTCAATCCTACTTCAAAATAATTCTAAAAAATTTTCTGGTTTTTATTTTACTGAAGAAAACTTATGTTTAGAAAAATTTTCTATTAATTAGTTTTTATTTATTATTTCTTTAATAATTTTTTTTTAAAATAATTAAAAATATTTATAGTCAAACAAATTTTTTACCGCATTTAGAAAAAATATTAATAGTTAAAGGCAGTCAATAATAAAAAAAACGAATTGGGCAAAATTTAAGTAGAACAAAAAATCAACAATCAAACAAAAGAATTTCTTTAATAGTTAACTTTAAAGCATTTTAAACATAACATAATCCGACAATAATAAAATAAGGAATTATTCACCATTTCAGTAGAATAAAATACCAATAGTCAGACAGATGTTAAAATTTCTTTAATAATTAACATATATGTAGTATAAAACAAATATAGTCAGACAGTAGAATTACTAAAATTTTGTCAGTCCTACCGAAAATATTTTACTTGTCAAAAGCATTTCTTATTTTTATTGTCGTCTTTTTAAATACTTTTTCATTCAATAATGTTTGACATTGTAAATCAACATTATTATCAAGAGAATAAAAAAAGTAAAAGAAATATAAAAATAATTAAAAATTAAATTAACTAAACGTGTTGTTAAAAAAAATATATTATGGTCAGGCAATTTCATTAACGGTTTTTAATAAAATTGCTAATAAAATTAACTTTAAATTATTCTGAATTAGATTTCAAGTTATTAAAATAAGTAGAATAAACCGAATATGGTCAGACGTCTCTATCCTTATATTCTTCTCTTTTAATTAAAAAGCCAATTTGCTCTTTACTTCCACAAAGAAATTAGAGCAAGTCGTATTATGAATCATAATTAAATTAATGTAATTAAAATTAATTGTTTTGTGCCAAGTAGCAAAAGTTGATTTTAATCAGACCAGGAAGTGAATTAAACCTATTAGTTTTCGATCCAAGAGAAAGAATTCGTCAATAAGACGCAAGAATATATTATTAAAAAATGAATACTAAAAAAATTATTAATTATCACTAAGTAATTAGTAATTATTAATAAAAAAAGTCACTAAATGTAGTAAAAGTCTTAAGTAGTACAAGTAAATGACACTCCGATTAAGAAACGAATTAAATTCAACAAAAGTTTCTATTTAAAAGAAGACAAAAAAATCCTACTTTACAATTAATAAAAAAAAATTAATTAATTTTTCTTATTACGTAGTAAAAGTAGATAATAGTCAGGTCAGCAATTGACTTTTAAACTAAATTAAACTTTCAGTTAAAATGAAAAAAATCCCTTAATGATTGCCGACAAAGGGAACGTATTAAGAGACAGGAAAATTTTAAGTAGTACAAGTAGAATGTACAGTCAGACATAAGAATAATTTTAATTAAAAATAATATCTATTCTATTCTGATACAAAAAAAAAATTTTCTTTTATTAAATTTGTCTAACATAATTGGGAAAAAAAGCCTGAAAATAAACGAGAGACGCATAAATTATATATTACCGTTTGAAAATTTTAACTTGAAAAAAAAGCAAAAAAAAAAATATATATATATACAAAAGACAAGAGAGTGAAACACTTTTATAAACATCAAACAATTTAATGGTGTTGATATCGTTGTAGGTATCTGATAAGCAGAGTTTTCTTCACGTTATCTGATATTCAAAGCTCCTGTTTCTCCGCGTCATCGTAAAAATCTGTTGGTTGAAATTATAAGGAAATATTCCATCCCCACGTTTTACAAGCCATTACTTTCTTTTGACACATTTGATAGCGCGACACTGGATTTATTATATCGCATTGCTTTCCGCTGTTTATATATAGTATATATATATATATATTCACACACATATAATATTATTTTATTTTGTCGCTGAAAACGGAATCGATAAATTTCATTTCATGGAATATAAAGGAATGCAAATTTCATATGCAAATATATATCTATATATATAATATATTAAAATATGTTTGGTAAATGACTTTTATACAATCAGAGAGTGAAAAGATTAAAATAGGCACACAATTAATTCGCTCTGCTTTTAATAATAATAAATGAAAACATTATCCAGTAACTATAATGTGTAAAAACATATTTTGTAAAAGCAATATTGTAATTTTCTATCTAGCAACCAGAATATTGCATAATTTATAAAAGATATTTTCATAACTATAGAAAATAATTAAAAAAAAAAAATTATTTTTAAATAAAATAGTGATGTTTTTCCGAGAGATAAAAATCTTAAATAATATATTTTAATAAAAGAAAAAGAAATCTAAAATCTTTGAGAACCAATTAATTTTAATTTGAAATAAAATATAAAATCAGACGAGAATTTATTCCTGCAATTTAATTTTCATAAAATCGACTTTTTCATGATAAAAATAATAAAAATAGAAATAACAATAAAATTAATTAATAATGAGGGGCCGTTCAAAAATAATAATAATAATTATTATTATTATTATTATTTAATAATGATAATAATATTATTTATTTAAATTATTATTATTGTGGTTATTGTTGTTATTATAATAAAATAATATTCATAATATTAAAATTATAATAATTATAAATTTATAATAATAAAAATAAGGGAAAATGATAAAATGAGACAAATGATTAAAATAGTGGTCGTATAATGAAACGTTTCACAATAGCCATCGTTCAATTAAAAAATACACGATGGGGTCGGTGGGGGTAAAGGGAATACGACTGTGTCGACCGACAGTCAATGCAGACACGTTTTATCCTATTAAATATTCAATTATTTTCACCCTTCCTCTCTTGACATCTGGGATTCACCCCCCTCTACCTTCGATGCAATCGACAGAGGATGCCTCTTGGCAATCAGTTTAATCCCTATTCATAGACTGAATCGAATAATTTCAAGTAAATCCTTCTATCCATTTCATTTCTAATAATATTGATCACGATTAAAATCCTTTAATATATACCATCAAGCACGTACTTTCCATGGTCTGTCTCTCCCCCCACTTCTCTCTCTCTCTCTCTCTCTCTCTCTCTCTCTCTCTCTCTCTCTCTCTCTCTCTCTCTCTCTCTCTCTCTCTCTCTCTCTCTCTCTCTCTCTCTGTCTTTAACTTAAGAATATAAATTGTTCTCCTCTTCCTATTATGCTATTATTTTCAATCTTATATTCTCCTTATTTCAATTGCCTCGACAAAATATAATTTTAAATCGACAAAAAGAAAAATCTTTAATATTAATCCAAAGCTCATTGCGGAAATTTGAATATTTTAATACTGAATCAATATTCGTACAATCATTATTGACATAGTGAAAAAATTCAACCAAGAATAATAATTATTAGTGGTAGTAATATTTAAGTGAAAATAAAGTTTATTTTATAATAATAATAAAAATTATAATAGGGGAAAATGTCACAGTTGGACCACTTTTTAATCTTTGCTTATAACTTTTTGTTTATAATAAATTTAGACAATTGTAAATTTTTATGAATTTCAATTATTTTCCAAACTTTTAGTTAGAATTCGTCAAAAATTCGATTATATTTCAAAATAATTTTTTAAAAGGAAACAAATCATTTTTTTAAAAATGTAAAATTTTCTTTCAATTTTCGACGAAATTTCCAACTGATTGGATATTTAAATAAATATTTTTTTACGAGAATTTAACTACATTGAAAAAATTTTCCAAAAGACTAATTTGTTTTCATAATTTTCAAATTAAATTATTTACTCTTGAATAATTTTAAGTCAATAAACAATAAATAAATACTTATTTATTTTTCCACAGGAATTGAAATTATGAATAATTTAAATGTAAAAGCGCTTTTTTAAATTTAAATATTTCTAAAAATTCATACTATAACGCATTTAATATTTAATTATAATCTGAAATTTTAACTGAAATTAATTTTTAAATCAGTTCTTATTAGAAAGTTCTATTAGAATTCAATTATTTAAAAACAAAAGTAAATAATTGATAGAATAATAATTATTGAAGGATTAATATAATTATTTACCGTAGAACTGAAAAATGATGAAAACAAAAATAAAGTTCGATTATATATGAAAATAATTTTTTAAAAGGAGACAAATCATTTTTTTGTAAATGCAAAATTTTCTTTCAATTTTCGACGAAATTTCCAACTCATTGGATATTTAAATAAATATTTTTTTACGAGAATTTAACTACATTGAAAAAATTTTCCAAAAGACTAATTTTTTTTCATAATTTTCAAATTAAATTATTTACTCTTAAATAATTTTAGCTCAATAAACAATAAATAAATACTTATTTATTTTTCCACATGAATTGAAATTATGAATAATTTAAATGTAAAAGCGCTTTTTTAAATTTAAGTATTTCTAAAAATTCATACTATAACGCATTTAATATTTAAATAATAATCTGAAATTTTAACTGAAATTAATTTTTAAATCAATTCTTATTAGAAAGTTCTATTAGAATTCAATGATTTGAAAACAAAAGTAAATAATTGATAGAATAAAAATTATATTTTTTACAATTGAATAGTTGTCAAAAATTGATTTTTCTCTATAAATTTTAATAAAATTGTTGAAAATAATTACAGTTTTCAATGAATTTATTTAAAATTGTATTAAAAATAATTAAAATCCTGTGAAAAATTTTATTATTTATAAAAATTATTAAATTCTTGTAATGAAGTTTATTAAATTATTTTAAATAATTGGATTTCTTAGGAAAATTTTTGTTATTTGTAAAAATAATTAAATTCTTGCGAAGGATTTTATTAACATTTTTGTAAATAATTGTAGTTTTTTTGGAGAAATTTATGAAAATTAAAAAGAAATAATAATTCAATTATTTCGAATAATTTAATTAAAATTGTATTAAAAATAATTAAAATTCTTGCGATGAAGTTTATTATTTATGAAAATTATTTAATTTTTATAAACGAATGTTATCAAAATTTTAGAAAATAATTAATTTATTTCAATGTATTTAATGCAAAATATTTTAAATAACTGATTTCTTCTGAAAAAGTTTCTTGAAAATTGTATTTCAAATAATTGAATTTCTATGGAAATCTTATTGTTCATGATATTAATTTAAATTTTGTAAAGAATTTCATTAATTGCTTTTTAAAATAATTGAATTCTTTTGAAAAATTTTATTAAAATAGTAGATATTGAAAATATTTGAATTTCAACGAAAAATTTTATTATTTGTGAAAATAATTGAATTCTTTTGAAAAATTCTAATAAAATAGTAGATATTGAAAATATTTGAATTTCAATTGAAGATTTTATTATTTTTGAAAATAATTGATTGCGACTTCCTGCCACTTATCGGATAGTTAGAAAACGTCGCGAAATTCAAATTTAGTAAAGCAAAATAGTAATAAATACCAAATTCCATATACTTAGTATTGTTTCAACTTTTCTTTTTCTTCTTTTTATTTTGTTTTCATTCTTTTGAAATTCAATTCCAGTAGTATTCATTTGTTTCACAGCCAAATTGCCTACACTTCGTAAAGCCCAAGCGGAAATGTCGTGCTTTTTGGCCAAGTCACGGCGTTAGCTTATTTCATATATATAGAGACAAAGGGAGAGAGAGAGAGAGGAGAGAAGAGAAGGGGTTACCAGCCATTTTGCACAAGTTTTCCTACAGACACTGTTAACAGAATCGGTAGAGCGACCTTTGGCATGAGAATATCCCCCGAAAAGCTCACTTTCACGAAACATCCCCGTTATGCTTTCGATACATAAAAGTTTCGTCGCTATTTCTTCCCCCTCTCACTTACTCCTTAAAACTGGTTATGTACACGAACACCCACATTCTCAATAACTGTTTTACTCGTTTATTCTGCGCCCTTTCAAATATCACCTGAATTCTTATTACTATTCGTAGAATTTTTTTTTTATTTCTATTTTGTTCCCTTTAATAAACAAAAATAAATTTTATTATTTATTAAATTAAATTTACAAAGTTATACCTATTCTTTAAAGTTGCGTATTTAAAGATACAAACAAATGATGCGAATTTATAAAAGTGATTTTTAAAGAGAAAAAAAGTTGATAAATAGAGAAACATTCGTTCTCTCTTTGTCCGGAAACTCATTGAATAAGAAACACAGGAAATACAAATTGGAAAATTCGCGAAAAATCTCAATTTTTTTGGTTGCCAATTTTTTTTTGTTCACTGTGCACCATTTCTCTTATATAGTAAATGGATTTTTGTTACATTTTATTTTATTTTTTTCCAGATAATGGACCACCGCCAGTCGAGCAGAGTGATGACGGATGGCTAAACTTTACAAAAATCAGTCGCAACGAAACTGGCTGGTACAAATGTTACACGCGACACATGTTGGGAATTTTCACGAGCATCGGCTACTTTCTCAATGTTCGCTGTGAGTATAGAAAAAAAATCTCTCTGACGTATTGGATTTATCATTTTTTTTTTCACCTCCTTTTTTTGTGCCCGTTCAAGTGTCCCTTGACAACTCGATGTCGATGAACCTGTCAAATCTTTCGCTCCTTTTTTCTCTACTCCCAAGTGCAACCATTATATCCGCATTTTTAACCATTTTGTCGAAAACACTTTTTTTTTGCTTTTTTTTCTATTTGATGGAGAAAAAAAATCTTTTTTAATCTTTATTTTTATAAAACAATGTGAGTAAAAATTGAATTTAAAAAATTAATAATCGTAATTAACATGTGAAATTAAAAGTTTAATCAGAAATTAATTTAAATCAAATTTGATGAGAAAATTATTAATTTTGACCAAAAATAAAATTAGAAATTTAAATTAAATGAAACAAAACTAATTCAATTGAAAGATTTGAAAAAATTAAAGAACATGGAAAATATGTGTAGAAATAATTTAACTCGATTTTCATTTTCTCATCTGAATAATTGAAAACAATAGAGTGAATTTGAATTTTAAGTGGTAAGAATGGTTTATAGTCAGACGGAAATTGAATATTTTTGAGACAAAAATTACGAGAACGTATTTCTTGCTCTCAAGTAGTAAAAAGTGGAAATATATGGAAAATAGTTTATGAAGCAAAGTTTGCAAACATTTGATAAGTAGTAAAATCCGTGTATGATCCGACTGTTAAGTAATTTTCCACAGTAAATAACAGTAATTAAATTAAATAAAAGAGTAATAAATTTAAAATTTAATTATTCTGAAAAACAAAAAAATAAAGGAAAAAGAAAGAAAATGATAAGTAATATTAGGTAAAGGAGACTAAAGTTAAAGTATAGTATAAACCGTTTTTGATCAGACATTAGTATTTTTTTAATTAGATATTTTCTGTACAAGTAGTACAGTTCGTTTTCAATCAGACATCAATATTCTTTCATGAGTACAGTTAAAAAATGTAGTTAAAGTTACATTTTCAAGTAGCCATTATATTAAGAGCAGGATAATGGATCATAATCTCATTACAATTAAAATTTCACGTAATTTAATATTTAAGTAGTATAAGTGAAGTGCCGTTAGACGGATAATTAGATCTATTATAAATACACCAAACACAAGAATGAGAATTCTAAAAATGTTTTTATTAATAATAAAAAAAAATAATAATAAAATATAATATAATATAATATAATAATAAAATAATTTCCAAAGAAAAAAGAAAACCCCGAAAGCATATAAAAATTTCTAAAAATTTTTTTTTATAACAATAAAAATAATAATAAAAAGTAATAAATAAAAAGTAATAAAAATAAATAAATTAATAAATAAAATAAAAGTAAACAAAAATGAGCATTTACGAAATATTCAACAATTTCCAGAAAACTTAATTTATTTCGTAAACTAATAACGAGATAACAAGAAGATTATCGCTTAGCCTTGATATGAAACCAGAGTTAATCTTTATGTTCCCATTAAAAGATTATTAGCACCTGCGCGCTTCTCAATTTTGAAATTATATATGTGAGACGCGCCGATACGAAACGGAAACCATAGTCATTTGTCAAGAACGGAAATCATCTCGCCAACCGGAAATTATCCGGCACCCTCAACGCGAAAATTTGCAAATTTCCCCTAGAATGTCTCAAACTGGGAGGAAGGGGGGGGGGGGAGGGAGAGAACCAACCATTTGGCAAACGATCGTACCCGAAACCAATTGTGAAATCTATATGTATATATATATATATATATATATATATAAAGCCTCACTAATACATATGCATTCTAACAAATCCTCTCACTTCTGCGCTCTCACCTCTTATCCTCGGCGTTCTAAATACGTGGCTCCTGAGCAACTAATCTCTACGCAATTTAGACGGCACGAGAGCACCTATTAACCATAGGTCCTCCGTTAGAATTATCGATTACAATGTTATCCGGGCTGTATACGTATCTTCTTGTGGTGGATAATTTATCTCCGGATAACGTTCCGATGATACGGTTAAGTGACCCTACATTTTAAGCTTGTTGATGAGTTGTGCAACCCTTCAACGTAATCAACTATTATCGTTACTATTATTGCTATTTTAATATTAATACTATTCCTATTACTATTTTATAATAATAATAATAATAATAATAATAATAATAATTATTATTATTATTATTATTATCACTGTTGTTCTTGTTATTATTACTTTTATTAAAATTATTACTATTTTAATAATAATATTATTATTAATATTGTTGTTTTTATTATTATTACTACTTTTATTAAAATTATTAGCTTATTTAAAGAATACAATTGATAATTAACTAAAACTATACAATTTATGTTCTCATTTTCTTTTAAATTAAATGTTACAAACTAATTAAAGAAAAATTTAGTTAATTGTACACTGAGAAAATATATACTTATTAACTAATTTACTAATTAATTATTCTTGGCAGAATAATTAATTAATAAACATGTTTATTAATTTCAAAAGTTTTAATAAAAATCTTCTCAAGAATTCAATTATTTTTATATAAAAACAATAACATTCTTCGAAAAAATTAAATTATTTTTATAAATATAGTACAATTTTTTGCAAAACTTAAATTATTTTTAACAAAATTTTCATAAAATTTCACAAAAGAATTCAATTATTTTCTAAAATTTTAATAAATCCTTCCAATCGATTCAATTACTTTTTTTAAATAGTAAAATATTTGTAAAAATTCAATTATTCAATAAAATTTTGCGAAAGATAATAAATCTTTCGGAACAATTCAATTATTTTTATAAATAGTAAAATCTTTGCACAAATTCAATTATTTTCAAAACAATTCTAATTTAATACCTCGGAAGAATTTAGTTAAAAAAAAAAATTTCATACATTTCGAATAAATTCGCAATTATTTTCTAAAATCTTAATAAATTCTTCGAAACAATTCAATTACTTTTATAAATAGTAAAATTCTTCGCAAGAATTGAATAATTTTTATAAATAGTAAAATTTTTTGCAAGAAATCAATTATTTTCAAAAAAATTTAAGAAAATCGGATAGAAATCAAATCTTAATTAAAATTAAATTACTTTCATTGCAATTTTTAAATATATTCGTCAAAAGAATTGAAAGAATTCAATTATTTGCAGAAAATAATAAAATTCTTCTGATGAATTCACTTATTTTGAGTATACTTAATTTTAATAAAATTCTTTACAGAAATTCAATTATTTTCGAAACAACTTTAATTTAATTTTTTAGAAAAATTTAATTATTTTCAAATATTTCTAGAAAATTCTTCAAAACAATTCAATTATTTCGTAAAATTTTTAATAAATCCTTCGGAACAATTCAATTATTTTCATGAATAGTAAAATTCTTCGCGAGAATTCAATTATTTTCATAAATAGAAAAATTCTTCGAATATATAGAAAATATCTACTGCTTTGATTCAAAAATATTATTTGTTTGAATAATTATTTTTAATTCAAACATATTTTCTGTTTTGATTTAAACAAAAATTATGTTTAAAAATTTTATGTTTGATTTAAACTTAAAAGTTCATTATAAATAATTTAAAAACAACCAAAACTTATGTTAAATTAAATATATTACTTCTTTAAATGAACCAAAAAAATATGTTTCAATTAAACTTAAATATGTTTGACTATATAGCAAAATTATTTTAAGTTTGATTAGGTTTTAGAACATATATTATTAATTATATATGTATTAATTACTATTTTATTTTTATTATTTTTAATTTTGATAACCTAGTATTCGCTTTAGAATTTTGTCTGTGGTTTTTAAATTCTTTTACTTTTTTTTACTCTTTAATAAAATTAATTTTATTGATAAAAATACTTTAATAACAAATTTTTCATCTTCTTTGAGAATTTTCTCTTTGACATAGTTTAAAAAATTGATTTAAAAAATAATTTCAAAGCAAGATATTGAGTCAAAACATTTTTTTATTTTTTATAGAATTTAAATTGTATTTTTTTATAAAAAAAAATCAGTTTAGAAATAACTATTTTTATATAAATATATTAATACCTACATTTATAAATGTCGAATTATAAACGGGAAAAACAATAAACTAATTTTGGTTAAATTATTAAAAAAACACTCTCATCCGATTTGTAATTTTGAATAAAATTTATTAATTAATAGGAAATTTAGACTCTGAGAGAGGAGAGAAATTTATTTAAAAAAGTAATAATTTTGAACATTGTTAACAAGTTTCTGGTAGTGAAATTCTGGTACATGTATCACGAGTCAAAATGAGAGACCATTGTAATAAATCAATCTTACGCCATTCGCAGTTTGTAATTAATATATAAACTAGAGAATTGAGTAGTAAAGATAGAATTCAGTCAGACAGTGATATTACTTTGTCAACAATTTGTAACTTCAATAAACTATGTGAATTCAGTAGGTAAAGTTTGTGTCTAGTCAGACATGTAAAATTGCTTTTAATAACTCTTAGAGAACTAAACTAGTATTAAAAATAAACACCTTACAAAATAATTGAACAAAGATAATATTTTAGGTAAATATAATTTAAAGAAAAAGAATATTTAACGTAAATATATTTTAACAAGACTATTTTACGTAAATATTTGAAGAAAACAATATTTTGCATAAATATTCGCATAAAAAAGACAAATAAATATAAATATTAAATAATAATAAGAAAGGCAACGTTAAAAAATTAAAAAATCTAAATTTCTATTTCTTTTATTGCAATTATTGATAAACATATAAAAGTTAAAAGAAGGTAACCTTTTGAATGTATAGGAATAGTTACTATCTCTCTCTCTAAAAATATTATATAGCTACTACTACTAGGAGAAAAAGTCGGTCTTTCGGAAACGAAATTTTCCATTCTAACAAGCAATAGAAAACATGTCCTTATTGAAGTTAAGATTCTTTACATGTATGTATATCAAAAGAAAAAAGCTAAAAGAGAAATAAAAGAAGTTTGCCGAGTCTT